CTCTTCAAGTTCACAAGGAGCCTCATCATGCACACGGTCACTAGGCGATAGCTCTAGTGAGGTATGTGAGTCCAATAACGAAAATGAACTTACTATTGATGAACTCGCACATGGCTATGAATTACTGATGCATTATTATAATAAATTGTAACGTAGCTACATTAACTTAAAAAGCAAGCATGTCGAAATAAAATGCTCTTATGAAACACTAGCCACTAAATTTGATCTCATTACAAATGAAAATGTAAAACTTAAAGAATGCAATGAAAAATTAAAATTAGAAAATGCTAGTTTGTTTCATGCTAAATGTGATGCTATATTAGAAGTTGAGAACATTAGAAAAGAGTTTACTTCTTTCAAACTTGATCATGCATGTTCTACTTCTAATAAAAATGCTTGTGTGAAAAATGATGAGTTGAATCAAGTTAGAAATAGAATATCCACTTTAGATTCAACATTAAAAACTTACATTGTTAATAACAACAAGCTTATGGACTTGTGTGCAAAGTCCCACAAAAATATTTCCAATAAACCTATTCACTATGCACACAAGTATAACAAAATTTACAAGTGTTCAATTTGCGGTCGTAAAGACCATATTGCTAAATTTTGTTATAATGCACAAAAGCCTAACAAGCCAAATCATGTTTGTGCATCCCATCAAGCTTCTCCATCTCATACATATGTACACACACATAGTGATAATCATAAACTTGCTCATATGTATAAGTATGAATTTTGTGGTCGTTTTGGTCATTTGGCCAAGTATTGTTTTGATTTAAAAAGGAATTCTCTTTTGCCAAATGATTCTAAAAATATCACATGTGTTTAATTGTAATGTTTGTGGTAGATTTGGACATCTTAAAAATTTTTGTTATGATTTGCAGAAAGCTTCTATGTTGCAAAATGTTCCAAATAGACCCATGTTTAAAAGTATTCCACATTTGCAAAAAGCTTAAAATAATTCACCTTTATTTGCAAATGTTCCACGTGCACATCCACATGGTCAACATAAACAAATACAGTCTCTTCATTGCACTTATTACAATCGAATGTGTCATTTGCATAATTCTTGCTATGACCGGATCTGTGCACAAAATGTGCCCAAAAGGGATCATAACCCTAGGGCTTTAAGCTTTAATGATAGTGGTCATATCCCTAGACTCCTAGGTACCAAGAGTAATTGGGTACCAAAATAAATTTATTATTTAAGAACAAATTTTTAGCTTTATTTTAGTTTTTTCATGTTCTTAAAGACAATTTTTTTTAAAAAAAAAATTTGAAAACAATTTCATTCTTGGTGTTTGATTTGCAAAATTACCATTCATATTTTTTTCATGATTCTCTTTTATAGATTTTTCATGTTTTTATCCTTTATGGATTGATACAATTTTTATCAAGATGATTTTTCTATGTTAAAACATCACTTTTATTAATATACCATGTTTTCAATTATTTTAACAATGTGTTTATGTTTATGGGATCATTATAAAACACTCTTGATGATATTTATGTGTTTGAGCTTATGAATCATCTATTTGTGGTTTATAATGTATTCCTTATATATTTTGATCAAGTTTTACAAAGAATATTTCTTTTATTGATCAAACAATTTTTTATATACTTTGTTTTGTATTTGCATATGAGAGGGTTATGTTTTAGCAACCCCCCCCCCCCTATTGATCTTTCACTTCATGTCATGCTCACCGGGCATTCATATGGGTTGAAACAAGTTTTTTATTTTTGTTCTTATCGAAAATGAGTATATTGATCTTTTATGTAAAACTTATAAATGTTTTGACAAATTTTCTTTGTGATCATGTATATAGGAAAGATGTGTCCATTATCTATATTGATACAAAATATTTTATAGTGGACATCTTTGCCTAACATCTTTGCTTAGAATGTTTTTTATGGTTTGAGTATGATTGTCATTTGAATCATGTATTTGCTCAATCATCTTATTTTTGTTAAAATGATACTTTATGCCTTTTATGAATTCTCATTTGGTCTCTTTTTGATATCATTTTTATTTTTTTTAATTTTTCATGAATAAGATTTTGGCTTTCATAAGTTTTCATAAACTTATACTTTGCTTTTCATGTATTGAGACATCATTCTCATAATAATGTATTTCTATATATTCTCAATCAATCATGATTTATGGTTTGATGACTTATGAATTTTCTTTTGGTTTTATTGACAAATCATATAATTCTTGATTTGTGATTTTTAATCTTTGATTTTTATTTTTAGGATTTGTTATTATTTTTGATATATCATATAGATATATATCTTTGTGTTAGACCCTTGTGACACCTTGTATTAATGATACACATATGAGTGTTCACTTGGTCTTGTATGTGAGTGGTGTTTAGCATACTTTTATCTATACTTGCTCACATATGTTTGCCATGTTCATAATTGCATATTTCCATATAGCATTTTGATACGGGGAGCAATACCTATATCTTCTTATGTTTTATACTCACCCGTGTTTATTGATAGAAGGAGCTTTCGCTCTCTTTTTTTTTCCCATTTTGATATTGCCAAAGGGGAAGAAACAAGTGGATTGTGAGTATATTTTAAGAGCATTGCTTTATTGTATATTTTATATACTCTTTGTGTAGATTGTTTGTCATCATCAAAAAGGGGGAGATTGTTAGGTCTCATGTTATGAGCCTACATCTTTTAATCTTGTTTTGATGATTACAAACAATTCCTAATATTATTTATCTAGTGTTTATATTTTCTTATTAGGTATTCTAGACAAATAATAAGTTGGAGGTTGGATGAATTGAGCCTACACGATCACATTAAATGGAGGATTGGTGGAATAGTGCAATGAAGCCTATGCATACTAGTCAAGATCTAAGTTCAAGCTTCTTCCATGTTTACCAAGACAAACTACAATGAAGATCTATCAAGCTTAGGTAAATTAAGTTTAGGGTTTATATAATGTGTGTTAATTCTATAAGCTCAAATATACACACACATTTCATTTGTGAATTTTCTCAAATATAGGTGTTTTTATGCAAAATATGTTTTAATATGCTTTGGACTATACAAACTTTATTAACATCTTTTATTATGTCCATATAAACATTACACAAGTTTTTAAAACTTGACTTGAGCTAAATGTCAAAATCAACATGTTTATAAACACATGTATTTTAGTGTTTTTGAATATTTTTCAGATTTCACAAATGATAAGAACAAATTAAAAAATTCCTTTTCCAACATGTTCATATTCATGTTTATAAATTTTTTTCAAAGTTTAACATTTTTTGGAATTTATTCACTATTTTTTAAGGCTCTTCAAATTTGGTTTTTACTATTTAAAACAGGTTGATATCACGTTATCAGTCGACTAATGAATGTGTTCAGTCGACCGAAGACAACGCTTGGAATAGTCAAAAGTTTCTGTTTTATTTTGGTCGACTGACCAGTCGATTGATGACCCATCAGTCGACTGATAAATATCGTCAGTCGACTGATGAGCTAGAAAATGCCTACAATGGCCAGCTCATCAGTCGACTGATCAGTCAACTGACGGCCCAACGGTTAGTTTTTCCAGTCTTTTGTTTTTTTTCTTTTTGCTGGATTTGTTTGGGTTTTGTGCCTTGATTTTCATCCTATATAAACCCCTATTGTTTTCATCAGAAAAATCATTCAAGAGGGTTTTAACAAGAGTTTAAAAGTGTTTAAAAGATTGTTTAAGTGTTTGTGTTTGTGTTTACAAAGAGGAAACATGCATCGTGAATTGAGGAATTCATCCTCAACCTTCTTCATCCTCCTTCGTGTTTATAGATAAGTTTTTCTAACTCTTTTCTCTAGCAATTTTATTATTGATTTTCATATTCTTATTATTGCTAGTTTGCTAATTGAGTTAGATTTTATTTATACTCATTTTATCACACACACCCTATTTGAGCTTGTAGGATCTCATACATCATATACTGGGTTGTGGGTTTGTGATTTATGAGATTGAGCTTACATTGAGTTCTCATCCAATTAGAGAACATTTTATTGTGATTGAGCTTTATTGTGAGTTGCACATTGTATTACACTTGTACACCGAGAGAAGTGTGTGGTGAGAGACGGGGTTAGTTCCAAGAGGAGTGGGGTCGGTAGTAAAGTCTAGTGAGAGGTGGTAATTCCGAACACTTGAGGAAGGTGACACGGGCTAGGCTAATACTTAGAGGGTGTGAAGTGTATTTGCAAGTGTGTAAGTTGTAAAGTTTTCGGTGAACTAGAAAACCGTATTATGAGGTGTAAACGTTATTCGGGTGAGCGTAGAAAACCCGGTTGTGATAGCGTAGAAAACCCGGTTGGAAACGCTAATCAACATCCAACCTGACTCCAAATCAGCAAAAAAAAACAAATGTTGTTAACCTGTTGTCAAGTTCCAGAATCGCTTGTGTAATTACAATCAGTAGATATGCGGAGTTCAAAGTCACCCTTGTCATTTCACCATAACTCAGGGTATCGGAATGTAATTAATCATAGCTTATAAGGCTGATTATAGAGTATGTATAATTAATTAGTCGCTATCTAACACTATAATACATTAATTTATAACTATACTACTTTGATTTATAAGATGCAAATCAGGTTTTTATTTAATAGTAGAATATGAGCGCACCACTTACAAAGATATTAAGTTTTCCATTGAACAAAAACAAAGCGTTTTCCGTTAGCTTCTCTCCTTCAGTTTGAGAAATAAGATTGCAAACTGATCCTGTTATTGGAATGTCCAACCTCTTCCAGACTTCCACCTTTGCAGACATTTATTAATGAGCAATTTTCTAAGATTGATAGTAATAATTGACAATGCACAGGCTGTGTTGAATTTTATCTCCCTGTACACCCCACATGTCCTGTTCGTTGGCTCAATTACTAATACGATCACAAATGGTGCAACGGTAAATGGTCCTTCGAAGCAACATTCTACGTTTTCAAAAATAAGTGCACCAGACTGAAGGTTTCAACTCTCAATCTTCTCAAGAATTCAACTCTAGCTCGATTATAGTAGTTTTACAAAACAAACTCTAGCTTGTATATAATGCAAAGTCCTGGCATCTCATGCCGGAAAAATATGGAATTCAGATTACAACATTTCCTTATAGAACTAGACAGAAAGTTGAGCAGTGAAAAATCAAACTGTAATTCTTTCAACCAAGTACTGTAAAACCTCCATCCACAGATATTATTTGACCTGTAATGTAAGAAGCAGCAGGCAAGCAAAGAAATGCTGCAAGAGATGCTACCTCCTCTGGCTCTCCCATTCGCGCAAGAGGAACACTAGCAGCTATTTTTCTTTCAATTTCATCATTCATCAACTGTTATAAAAAAAATTATTGACGTCAGAATGTCAGATTTTCTAATTGTGGTTAGACCCCTTATAGTATCGCCCAATTGCGGATAGACCATTGATAGTTCTATTGTAGTAGATAGACCCAACCCTAATCCTTTTGAGTGACATGGTGGATAACTATCGTGTGTCTTTAATAAGAATTTGATGAAAAAGCCAAAAGATACAAGTAAATATTACCACATACAGAAGCAACAACTGCACCGAGACAATACAGAAGAAACAAAAGAAACAAAAGAACAAAATCACAAAACGATCAATTGGCAACTTAAGGATTGGAAGGAACAAGTATCCGTGTGAACTTCGTTCGTCCATCTACTTACCAAGCAGAGGTTAGTCATCCGACTCAATGTCAGATATATTCAGCATCAAATATCTAGTTAGATAACAATGTTAAGGGGTTCAGTAAGTGAAAAAATTGGGTTTCAGGTGGTGGATGTGATGTTGCATCATGATTGCGTTGAGTGTACTTATTTGAATAGAAAATGAGGTAATAAAGTCATTACACTAAAATTCCCCCTAAATTTTCTTTGTCTGACTTATATTTGGTCAAATTCTATTATCTCACAAATGAAAGTCAGGTAGTACATCATAGTTAGTTAACAAATGTAGGTGAAAACTATTGTTAATATTTGAGAGCCTTTGAGGCATTGATTCATGAAAGATGAGCTATTCTTCTTTTAGAAGTTCAGAGATTCCCATTAATGGGTCCAAGGAGAGATTCCCCTAATACCACCGTCTTTATCACTATGTTTTGAATTGGAATTATCATAGTGTGTAAATTTGCTTCTTCCTTGTTATCCATTTCAAACATAACAAACAGATAGAACTTGAAGAAGCAAGATATTCATGAAACTTACAGGTTGTACCATTGGGGTCAAAATGCCTCCAGGTGCAATACAATTAGTTCGAATATTGTCATTTGCCCACTCACATGCCAGATTCTTAGTGAGTTGGTTCATTGCTCCTATGCCGAATCAGAAGTAAACATAAATAATGATTATCAAGTTTAGTATGAACTTATAATCTTGAACAGGGGTTTATTAGAAATACCTTTACTTGCTGAATAAATGGAAAGACCGGGTAATGCTACAGTACCAGCAATTGAAGAGATTAATACGACGTTTCCTCGCTTGGATGCCTTAAGAAGAGGGTGAGCTAGCTGGCTTAAATGAAAAGCTGACTCAAAGTTTGTAGACATGATGAATGAATAATCTTCTGCTGTGCAATCCACAACTGGCTTAGTAATAAATGTTCCTGCATTATTAATCTAGCCGCAGAAAAATAATTAGCTACGAGTGTACAACAAATTAAAGAAAGAAGAATAGATATGTCCTGTTAAGTCCATCCCTTCCTAAAGTTTTGGCTGATTACTATAGTTGATAGGGTTAATTGCAGATAGACCACTTCTAGTGTCTGAATTTATTTACTACCCCCTCTAGTTTTATTGTTGCAGATAGCCCCTGAACGAAATTTTTCGACTCTTTACCCACAAATAAAGAGAAATGTGTTTTTATGACAAATAGACCCTTGAAGGTAAAAGAGTAAAAAAAGATTCACTTATGGGTCTATCTGCAAAGAAAAAACTAGAGGGGTACTAAGTTCAGAACAATGATACCACAGTGGGTCTATCCACAATTGACCCTTCTTTATAATTATGGCATTAATTAAGAGAAAATTGCTAGCACTTACAAAAATATTTAGCTTTCCATGGAAAATGGAAGAGACACTTTTCATTAGTTTTTCCCGCTCTTCACGAGAAGATACATCACATACTGAACCTGTGACATCAAACTTTAAGTTTCTCCACTCTTCCAAGCATTTCTCTAGCTCTGTTTCATTTCGCGAGCATGTGTGGACTCTTGCTTCAAGCAATGCTAACTCTTCGACTATAGCATGCCTACAAATCTACCAAAGTTAGGCACAATTGCTAAATATTTTTTATATTTTCATAAAACTGACATGAACGTGCCTGTACCTCTAACTCATAAAGAACACGGTACAATATTTGGATCTCCCAGTAAAGTTACTGGAACTCTCTAAACTTCAGGGTGGGGTTTTTTGGTGACATCAATTAAGTTTAAATTAATTTTTAATTGAAATGATTAGTTTCATTTTATGATTTAGTTTGATTCGAATTTTGTGATTTACAATCTATTTTTTAAAGTATGCAATGTAACACTTTCTGTATTAAACATTGAAGTTGTCCTATAGATTTGATATTAGTAAACTGATTACATGATCCTTAATTCTTACAAAGTTCCAATGGCTAAACTTTTTTATGGAGCTTGTTTGTAATTATATAGTTTACATGTAAAATGTCCCCCTAACTTTTGGCAACTGAATAGAAATTTCTTTTTCAGGCTTTCAAGTGTTAGATCCAGATTCAGTCAGTTCAATATAAACCAAAATGGGGAAATCAACAAGCATAACACCTTAAGAAAAACAATATTGAATTTAGTAATAAATTTTAGCTTTCCCACTGATTAGAGTTGTGATTCTAGTTGCATGTCACAATAAGGAAAGGCTAACAATAATGATTATACTAATTGGACAGAAACAAATAATAAGGTGTGCATGCACCTAACCGCAAACAACTCACCTTAAATATTCGACAGTTATTTGGTGCAAGAATTGAAATTGTAAGATCACAAATTTATAATTTCAAGTTAAAATCCAAGTTGGAAAGCTAAAGCTCAATTCCAGTGGTTGATTCAGTAATACTATGAGATGCCATTACCTACCCTTGCTTGGCATTTCACTCCCAAAGTCAGTAAAATTCCAAATCCACACCTTCTACATGAAAATGGACTTTCTTTTGAAGTTTTGAGATAATGAATCGTTGTTTTTCTTTCTTGACCGCTTGGGCCTATATAAGTGTTACATCTTACATCCAAACCCCTATCTTTCTCTATCATCTATTTTACCAAAAAGACCCCTATCAAATCTAGGAAATACGAAAACATACAAACTGCATATCTCAACACTCCCCCTCAAGATGGGCAAAAGATATCCATCAAGCCCATCTTGTCACATAACCTAGCTAGATCTACTGAGCTAAGTCCTTTGGTGAGGCAGTCAGCTACTTGATCTCTAGTAGCTACATGACTTAGCTCCAATAGTCCACTATTCAGCTTTTCCTTTATGAAGAACCTATCAATCTCCACGTGCTTGGTTCTGTCATGCTGCACTGGATTGTTGGCAATGCTGATTGCGGACTTGTTGTCGCACCACAACTTCATTTGAGCCCCTTGGTCCAGCTTGAGCTCTTTCAATAGAGTCTTCAGCCATAACATCTCAGCAACTCCTAAGGCCATGGCCCTATACTCTGCTTCTGCCGTAGATCTCGCAACAACAGACTGCTTCTTGCTCTTCCAAGAGACCAAGTTGCCCCCTACAAACATGCAGTAACCCGATGTGGACTTCCTGTCATCGGCACAACTAGCCCAATCAGAGTCACAATAGCCCTCAATGTTCAAGTGCTCATTCTGCCTGAATATCAATCCCTTCCCAGGTGCACTCTTCAGGTACCTCAAGATCTGATACACTGCATCCATATGGCTCTTCCTAGGGTCATGCATGTAGCGGCTCACCACGCTCACTGCAAATGAAATATCGGGACGCGTATGACTCAGATAGATCAATCTACCTACCAATCTCTGGTACCTCTCTCGATCAACCTGTTCTCCTGCCTCTGCACTCAGCTTGGACTTCTGATCAATTGGAGAGACAGCAGGCTTGCACCCCAACATCCATGTTTCTGTGAGCAAGTCTAGGACATACTTCCTTTGAGATAGGACAATCCCCTCTGCTCCATGAGCCACCTCAATCCCAAGGAAATATCTAAGTTGTCCCAGATCCTTTACCTCGAACTCCTTCCCCAGCTTTGCCTTTAGCTGTGTAATTTCCCCTTCATCATCCCCAGTAATGATCATGTCATCTACGTACACAGCAAACATGGTAATGTGGCCACCCTGTTGCCGATAGAACACCGTGTGGTCGGCATTGATCTGCTTGTAGCCTAGGCACACCATGGCCTTTCTGAATCTATCAAACCATGCACGAGGAGACTGTTTCAGCCCATACAGCGACTTCTTGAGCCTGCACACCTTACCAACCGTCTGGTTTGTGCCAAAACCCGGTGGGACCTCCATATACACCTCCTCCAACAAATCACCATGAAGGAAAGCGTTCTTCACATCAAGTTGGTGTAACTTCCACCCACCATTCGCTGCTAGGGAAATCAGTGTCCTTACTGTGCTCATCTTTGTCACGGGTGTAAAAGTCTCATCATAATCAATACCATAGGTCTGACTGTACCCCTTTGCCACCAACCGAGCCTTGTAGCGCTCAATCAGACCCTCTGGATTCTGTTTCACTGTGAAGACCCACTTGCATCCGACAGCCTTCTTGCCTGGTGGTAGTAACACAAGCTCCCAAGTGTTGTTTTTGTCGAGGGCACCGAGCTCTTCTAGCATGGCTGCCTTCCACTTCGGATCTCCCTTAGCAACCTGCCAACACTTAGGGATAGAGACAGTGTCTAATGATGCAATGAATGCTCCATGTACAGGTGATATGTGTGAATAAGAGACAAACTGGGCAATATCATGTGAGAAACCATATCGGTCAGGAGAGAAACCATATCGGTCAGGAGGAATACGCGCATTCCCGCGAGTAGTCCGCCTTACCAATAGGGGGGTGGAAGGAGTAGAGGGAGGAATCATATCACCTGTGTATTCTGAGTCTGAAGTGGATGTATTCTGAGTCTGAAGTGGATGAGAAGGCAGAGACAAGGGACTTGGCACTGGTGGCACTGTGGGCACGGCTCCCTCAATCTGCTTATTTCTCCTCACATACACCTCACGGTATGGTGGAGAAGCGATGGTGGCTGATTGCGACTTCAAGCTTGGAGAGCGATGACCGCCGGATCTAGGGTCAGGGATTTCCTCAGGTGGCGGCGGCTCTAGGGTTAGAAAGCTCTGATACCATTTTGAAGTTTTGAGATAATGAATCGTTGTTTTTCTTTCTTGACCGCTTGGGCCTATATAAGTGTTACATCTTACATCCAAACCCCTATCTTTCTCTATCATCTATTTTACCAAAAAGACCCCTATCAAATCTAGGAAATACGAAAACATACAAACTGCATATCTCAACACTTTCTTCTTCAAGTATTTTGAACCAGTGACTTTCTTCTTCACAAACCAGTCTTGAGAAGTACTGATCAAATCTGTAGAAGATTTCTTTGTGGGTGGGTGGGATGGTTTTTTTTTTTAAAGGTGTTTGGGGTGATACTAGTCAGAAGGCACCTCTTGTTGCTTAGCACGATATCTGTAGATCCAAAGATGCCGGTGGACTTGGCATTTTCCATGCAGAAGGATGGAACCTTGCTTCCATTGCTAGGCTTATCTGGGAGATCCAAACCAAGAACGATGTTCTATGGATAAAATGGGCTCACGAGGTTATCTCAAGCAGTATGATATTTGGCATGTTAAGCCTACAGTTGGGGATTCATGGCAATGGAAACAGGTTTTAAAAGTTAGAGATTTCCTATTAGAAAGATGGGGGGTCAATTGATGCCTCTACACATAATCTTAGTTGGCTGCAAGTTTAAGATCTCCTCTGCGTATCAGTTGTGTTATGATCTTAAACATGGTGGTAGATTGGTCTCCTTTCATTTGGAGTCCTCTAACTGTGCCAATGCATAGTATCATTGAATGGTTAGCTGCAATAAGAAGGCTTCTTATACAGCATCAGCTGATGCGCATGGGGATTGTGCAAACTAATAGCTGCTGTTTATGTTTGCAGCAGGAGGAAACACTTGAGCACTTATTTTTTCAATGTTCTTATTCTACTTCAGTTTGGGATCATATTCTGGCATGGAACAGGACTTTTGCTTACCCAGCTTCTTGGCTGGAGGTGTTGCATCGGTTGCGTCTCTTGTAGGGAGGAATCAGTAAAGTGGAGAATTCTAAAAGCTAGTATTTCTGTTGTGGTGTATCACATATGGTGTGAGAGAAACTATAGGACTTTTGCTGAGAAGTCTTCTGATGCCAGTGATTTGATCGCTGCAGTTAAGCAGGAGGTTTTGACCAGAGTGCTAAAAGCGAAAATTCCTTATCATCGCATATATAGATATCTTTGATACTTTTGTTAGCTTTTTGTAAGCTTTTGTTCTTTTATATCACAGTTTGAGCTTTTGTTTTGTACTTTCATTCCATTGGTATAATGAGAAATTTATTCATTTACCAAAAAAAAAGAAAATGTACTTTCTTATCCACCGCACGCAATTCCTAAAGTTCTTGCTATTATTACATTGACAAGATCGTACCAAAAATCTTAAAATCAAAATGCAGAATTGCTATTTCTTACGTCGAATAGTCCTAATATGACTATCTACACGTATTAACTTATCGAAGATAAAAGCATTCAATTAGAATTAGGAAATGAAGGCTTCAAAAACTAGAATGAGTTTAGATTAGTACCCAATTCCTTTAGTTCCTCCAGTGACTAAAGCAGTTGTTCCACAAAGCGACCATCGATTCTTCCTCTCATCAACATCAATGCTCCTAGTTCCCTCCATGGTTTGTCTCCTATTTCCTTCAATGCTATCCGAACCCATCCTTCACAGTCTTTATATATACCCACGGTCAGTTGCATAGTACCACAAGAATATACAATAAATGCCAGAACGCTGTCCAAATACAAAGCAAATAATATGAACTCATTCTAAAGATGCCATGCTGCACAAGGTAAACTAATCAAACAAAAAGTCTTGCATCATTACCGAATGTCTTTATGCCCAGAGCAAAGCTCCGTTGCAGTATCTGACACGAGAACAAGTTCAAATGATTGATAATGCCGTATATGGCCTGCACAAGATCGTTCATACCAACGAAAAAGTCTTGCATCATCATCATCATCACTGGATTGGATATCTTCCATTGAAAATAAGGACAACGAGTAAAGCTTACGACCTTCATTTTTGTTTTACACTACGAGCTAATATCATTTCAATACTTGATTCAATTTTATTGTTATACCTCGCTTCCTTGAATATGAGCCGAAACAATTAAAGGGTACCAACTACAAACACAAACCAGTAACCCAAAAAACAAAAACAAACCAGTAACCCAAAAAACAAAAACAAAAACAAAACAAAAAAACAGACATTTCATCAAACATTTAATCAAGAAATCAGAGGCAAAAAGCATTTCTCTACTTAATCTCGATGACCCATTTCGGCAAGCAGTTGATGGGCATTGTTGCTTCTCTTGGGTAAAACAGTTCAGTCTCATGAACATTTCATCAAACACCTTACGAGCAACTGTTTATTACAAACTTAAAGTGAACGAACACTGTGACTGTGGGCAGCCTCAAAGGCGGCGGGCGCCGTCGGCACAAATGATTTGGCCGGAGATGAAAGAGGCAGCAGGCATGCAGAGGAATGCAGCCAGCGATGCTACCTCCATTGGGATCCTGTTGACTCCTGCTGCTCTGATAAAGCTCCTTCGTCATTTATCACCTATTCAAGATGTTTAGATGGAAGATTAATGTGTCAGAGAAATTGTCGATTGTCCCCTATTAATTTACAGCCCACTTACGCAGTTAAACCAAAGTTAAGCTTACTTCTCATTTTAAGCCCAACCGATTATTTAAATGCCCAAAGCCCAAACATTTAAAAATGGCCGAAGCTCTACGAGCTCAAGTGCAACTGAAATTTTACTTTTATAGGGATATTCAGCCCATCTCCTACTCTATCATCAGTACCAATAAATTAACAATTCTTAAGGGGGTGTTCTTCGTTCTGGATTGTTGATTTAGACTCTAACAATTGTGACTCAATTTTTTGGTTAGTGTGCCGAACTCCTGGATTAGATTTTAATTTTTTTTATTAGAAATCTTGAACTTTTAGTTTAAATTTTTTAACTTTTGCTTTGAATTCGTAGGTAGGCTGAAGGTTAGATTCTCAAACTAAATTTTAGACTTATCAATTTTTTGAATTAGGATCTTCAAAATAAATTATTTTGTTAAATAATAATTATTCAAATTGAATATTAATATGGAAAATCATCCGTATTTCGATTAACGAATGACAACAACGAAAGTAAATACATTCATGTAATCTATTTAAACTGTTCACATGATGCCATATGACAGAAAATAACTAGGCACATAAATAAATAAAAAAGCTAGTGTTTAGGTACATAAAAGAAGATAACTAGTGTTCAATCATATAAAAAGTAATTTGTACATTTAAATATATAAATTTTAAATATATTAAAAAATTTATCTCAAACATCCGACATTAAATATTCGAATGATTTAATATTAGATATTTGTATTATTTAATACATTAAATTTTAAATATTAAATATACTTAATATTTATGTACTTAATATCTTTCATTTCTGACAATTAAATAAAAATAAAATGAATTTAACATATTATTAAATATTTAAAAAATTTAAATATTTAAGAAATGTTAAATACTAAACATATATAATTTAATATTAAATATTAAATAGATTAGGTGATTAAATTAAATAGTATTAAATATTTTATTTTAAATGAATTAAATAAAAAAGAAGTTGATTACAAATATTTTAAGATTAAAAATACATTCAATGTTAATATATAAGTAATTTAGGAATATGAATTATTTTAAAATTAAATATATTTAATTTGAATATATATTAAATATTTGTATAAGTAAAGAGAACAAAATATAGAAAATCCACAGAATGAGATCACAATTCACCAATTTTAACTTGAACTTTCTGTAGAAAATTTCTCATTAAAAACTATAGAGTTGGAATAGAGTGTGCATTTTAAAATCCTAGTTCTAATAACAATCTTAGACAATCAATAACATCTTAAATTCAATTCCAAATCCTAGTCCTAATAAACCAACAACACATTAAATTTAAATCCAAATCGTAGTCCTAAAAAACTAATTTGTATATTTAAATATATAAATTTTAAATATATTAAAAAATTTATATCAAACTTCCGGCCATTAAATATTAGAATGATTTAATAATTAAATATTGTGTATTATTTAATATGCATTAAATTTAAAATATTAAAAATATACTTAATTTTTATGTACGTTAATATATTTCATTTTCTGACAACTAAATAAAATTATAGAAATGCAATTAACATATTATTAAAATATTTAAAATATGTTAAAGATTTAGAAATGCTTAAATACTAAAGCAATATAATTTAATTATTAAATAATGTATTTAAATTAGATTAGCTGGATTTAAATTAAATAGTATTTAAATATTTTGATCTTAAATAAGTTGAAATAAAAAGAAGTTGATTCACAAATATTTTAAGATTAAAAAATACATTCAATGCTTAATATATAAGTAATTAGGAATATGAATTTTTTAAAATTAAATATATTTAACTTTGAATATATATTAATATTTTATCCTATTAAGTTAAAGATGAACAAAATATTTAAGCAAAATCCACAGAATGAGATCACAATTCACCAATTTTTAACTTGAACTTTCTTGTAGAAAATTTCGCATTAAAAACTATAGAGTGCGAATAGAGTAGTCCCCATTTTAAAATCCTAGTTACTTAATAACAATCTTAGACAATCAATAACATTTAAATTCAATTCCAATCCTCAGTCGCTAATAAACCACCCCTAAACCATTAAATTAAATCCAAATGTTAGTCCTAAAAAACTAATTTTATATTGTAAATATAAAATTTATAAATATATTAACAAAATTGATATCAACTTCCGCCGCATTAAATATTCGAATATTTAATATTACAAATTGTATTCTTTTTTTTGTGGTTTTTCTTTTTCGTATATTAATACATTAAATTTCTAAATATTAATATATTAATTTTATGCCTACTTAAATATGTCATTTCTGACAACTTAAATAAAAATAAAATGCAATTAACATATTATTAAATATTGGTAAAATATTGTTCAAATATGTTAAGAACATGTTAAATACTAAACATATATAATTTAATATTAAATATTAAATAGATTAGGTGATTAAATTAAATAGTATTAAAATTTTTATTTTAAATGAATTAAATAAAAAAGAAGTTGATTACAAATATTTTAAGATTAAAAATACATTCAATGTTAATATATAAGTAATTTTGGAATACGAATTATTTTAAAATTAAATATATTTAATTTGAAAATATATTAAATATTTGGATAAGTAAAGAGAAGAAAATAGAGAAAATCCACAGAATGAGATCACAATTCACCAATTTTAACTTGAACTTTCTGTAGAAAATTTCTCATTAAAATGAGATCACAATTCACCAATTTTAACTTGAACTTTCTGTAGAAAATTTCTCATTAAAAACTATAGAGTTGGAATAGAGTGTGCATTTTAAAATCCTAGTTCTAATAACAATCTTAGACAATCAATAGCATCTTAAATTCAATTCCAAATCCTAGTCCTAATAAACCAACAACATATTAAATTTAAATCCAAATCGTAGTACTAAACTAGTAACACCTGAAATTCAAATCTGAACTCTAGTACTAAACCAATAACACCTTAAAATTGAATCTAAATTCCAGTCCGAGACGAATAACACGCTAATTAAACTGAAATCCAAGAAAAGACCCGAGCCCGATTAATCAACAATCCAAATTCAATTATTATAGCAACGTCTAAGATATGATTAGCTCATTGGGGTGATTGGCCAGTAAGATATTTTTTTAGTATGTTTGTGAATTTTATTTGGTTCAGTGTGGCCTGAGTGAATTAATAAAGGATTAGTCGTTATATGATAAAAATCATTTTAATAAATAACCCCAGGCCGAGATCGGTCATCGCGATGATGCATCATCAGATCAGATAAATTTTTTCTACAAAAGTTTTTTGTTTTTCAATAGCTGTACAATCCCGAAAAAGAAAATAATTAAAACGACCAAACGCGTTACCAACTGTCAGCCATCACATCAGGCCCTACCAATCCTCCACGTGGCAATCTCTCAGGAACTTCCATGCACTCGGGTCCAACTTTGAATTTGAAATCACCTCCTCGTGCGGATCTTGTTTGCTGACGTGGAATCTATGCCCTTATGAGGTGGGGCCCATTAGTTCGTCATGCGGTGATTTTATGGGTGCAAACGAGTTCTTGGTTTTTATTTTTTATTTTCTTAATTTCAAGGACAAATTTTAAAAATCGACCGATTTACAAAAATAATTACAAAAATCGATCTCTTTTCAACATATTTGTCAAAATCTACCCAGTTTTAATCATCTGGCTGAAAGAAACTTGGTCGATTTTGACCAAAAATTATCTAAAACTTCACAAGTCCCGTAAAGTTTTGTTATGTACAAAAAATTTACGGGACTTCAAGTCCCGTGAAGTTTTGTATTTTTTTTTTGCCAAAATCAACAAAATTTCAACCAACTGTCTGAAACTGGGTCAATTTTGACAAACAATTTAATTAAGAACAGATTGGTTTTTACAATTAAGTTTCTCAGTGGGTTGATTTTGAAAATTTATCCTAATTTCAATTATAGCAGACGACGAGGAAACCTAACGAGCTAGGCTAGCTAGTTGGCATAGAGGACGGTGACATGGGATTAAAATAATCGAGATTTGTCGGTTGATTTAGACTAAGTTTGAGATGAGAGGCACTACTAACTATCTTTATGTGATTTAACTTGTTCGAATGCGACATATCAATAAAGCCAAATTTTGATTAAGACTGCCAAAAAAAATGGCATCGCTTATTCTGTTGATTAATTATGAGCAGTGTAATATTTGAGTTTTGGCGACAAATTAAATCAAGAATGAGCGAAGAAAAATGTTCATATATATATATTTAAAAAGGCAATGAACAACATTCATGCTAGTATTTAATCCTCATCCATGCACGCTTATCAATAAGACAACAATCATAGATCAAAATGAGATTCGTGTTAATTATTCGTAAGCTTCTCGATCTTCTACAAGTTATTACTCAAACTAGTACCATCCATTTTAGATAAGAAAGTTTTCATCGTGTAGATGATGAGAAACAAATTAAATTGGCGAGAAATTTTACTTGCAACAGAAAAAGATTTAATCACGATGCGTGTATATATGGGACTTTTGTGTCTTTAAAGGCAAGATGAGGAAGGTTTTGTGGGCTTTATTCACTGCTGTTTTCTGGTTTTTAAAAGGAATGATAGAATTTTTAGTGATCAGAAGATATATATCCAGTCCCCAGAGCATATCATTGATAAGATTTTGGGGGAACTTTCATGCATGATCAATATGGCATCTATAATTCTATATACTTATTCAAATATTATTGACGACATAATGAGTGCATACATGTTATATAATTCTATATTATGTTAGGTTTATGATTTGTAATGTTGAGCCTAAAATAAAATCTCTTCCATCAGTTCAAAAAAAAAAAAAATCTACAAGGTCAAATACACCCCAATGATCGATATAGTAGAAGAAGTAACCTTTTTAATGAAAATGAAAGAGAAGAAAAGTTCAGTGATAAAGTACCAATTGCAGGAATGGTAGAAAATCTTGTTAATTTATCTAATCACAAGTTAAAGGAACAGATCATGGCCAACTTTATTTTCAGGCACTCATTAGTTTCTTCGTCACGACGTATAATTGGCGAAGACAAAGTTAAGTTAGCCCACTAATTATAAAGCATACATGCATGAGCCCGTAATCCAAACTTTTTAGTAATTTAGAGGAAAAAGTGTTTATG